GACGCGATGTCTCATCAGTGTCTTTATTATCTTAGGCATATCAACAACCTCGAAATATCCGCTAATTACTGTATTATGTCATTTGTTACGTATTCTGCATATATTGGCAATGTATTGTAGAGTTAAGCACATGTTTAATAGTATCCAATGCATCATGCAAAAAAGTATATCGCTACAATCATGTTTTCGAAAATCCAATCGATGCTCTGAGGATTGCAACTCGAATTTCTATAGCCAAACGTACTACTAATTTGTACAGATTCACCTATCCTGTCATTATTACCGCAAACGATCTGCGTTCGAGAATCATAATATCCACGATGCGCAAAGTTGCGGAATGAAAATCTTGAGAAGCTCCATTAATCGAAAGTTATATGTCAAAACGACCACGCAAGTATTAGTTTGTCCTCGAGTTTGTTCTTCTTTTCGATCTTTAACAGAGCACGCAGTTTAGTACGATAATACGCGCCCCGTTGCAGCCTCTGCCGATTCCGGCAGGCACCTGGAAATATGTTTTGATTATATTCGTCTTGTCTTAACGACAATATAACAATCATATCGATAAGACTATAGGACCAAATGATCGCAAGCATTATCCAATTATTTAGTCTTTTATCTTTCAACAAGATAGTAAGAGTTGTGGTTATTTTGTAGCCAATACTGATTAAGGGCTAAGCTGGCATAGTTGCCGATCCACCAACACTGATCCATTTTTTTAACATATAGTCAAGCAATGTCGAATTGGGGCATTTAAATCCCAAATGAGTTATAGCAGAGCAAATTAATTAGGATTGAGGCACGATTGAAGGTTTTAACATCTAAAGACTCGAGTAATCGGTCAGACTGAGCGCCATCGATTGCAGCGATTTAATATACTAGTATGACAAAATTATACACAAGCAAATAGGTACACTCCTAATGTAAGATTTCTTCATTCATGCATCAACTCGGTATACATATATGATACTGGAGTTCAAGACGATAAAAATTTGCTCGATTTGAACGCATTGTGACTATTTCCCATCGTGTGCTAGGCTTACCCAGCAAAGGGTCGATTTATAAGCTTATAAATATAAATGCGATGAAGTAGTGCATATGTACGAAAATAATGTTATAATCAAAATAGGGTAGTGGGAACAGCATTGCTCACGATTACAAATACAAGAAATTTGATATCTTAATAACGCGGATAGAAATAATAAGGTTATTTAGCTTTAATTTCGCTCCAGCCTTTAGTAGATCTCAGCCGTTAAATTTCTTCGGACTGGTTGAAAATCATGGTTTGTCAAAATTCTTGCACAATTAGTAAATCGTCATTTACAAGGCGCTTATACAATTAAAATGTGCCATCTTTTGTTTGTTTATAGACGAAGCATACTTCAAATCATTGTATCTGCCAAATTACCTCCTGTAAGACGAAGACGAGTTTAAATTGCTTAAGATCGTTGCTTGCTTTCGCTTGCTGAGTCGCAAAAGGCACCGCACATACGATCGAATTGACACGCTGAGTGCAAATACAACGAACGATTCACACAGATAAATTCTATATTAGTACTACCAGTACACCGATCCGTTTAACGTAAAAGTTAACCGCCGCAATCGACCGTCTTTGAAGGCTCTTGTGGACAGGCTGCAATTTTCGCAATCATACCCATTACCTAAGCAGTTAACCTCCTAAATTGAGATATCTCGTGTCGCTTTTTTAAAGTTCGTCACGTACGTAAAGGTGCGCTCGATTGGTCTAGTAATATTGCATTTTTGACCCGGTCATATTAGCAGGCGTTTCAATGCGTCCGCACAGTCCGACAAGTTATATCGACTTTTGCTCGCCAATTATCCAATATATAACGCAACTCATCAGCTACGTGGGACGGCCTTTTAGTATAAAAAGCCAGGTCGGATGGGCTCTTCTGATTCGATTTTTTGGCTTTACCAAATTCATCATCAAACTAGGCACTGTAATTATTGTTTGCGAAGGGTCTGTTGCACCATCGCGTTTTAAATGGGGGAGAAGTTAAAACGCCCAATCGGTGTTAATTTTCTTGAGGTAATTTATTTTCAGACGATTTTTGAAGCCTACCTTCTCACTGATTATAGGCTTCTCGGATCTTGTATATACTAATGACAAGAATCAATCCATGGAGTTTAAGACTATCGGAGATATAGGGCACGGCGCGCTCATTTATTAGTAAAACATCATCACGCACGTCAGAATGAATGCGATCCCCTTGGGATATATAACGGTAATAAACCTCCATTGAAACTAATGCTTTTAGCATTCGAACAAACTCGAGCATTGAAGGATGCATTATAAAAACAGTGAGCCAGCCATTCGATGCAGCTTGTGTGGATAATGTTTCGCGCATGTTGACTTATTTTAAGCCTAAAGGTGCGTTTAGCGTGTGTATCGAAATGCTTCGTGTCTAGTATACACAAAACAGTGAATGTATATGTTAATTATTATACAACCTTTCCTAATTTTGAATATAATTGCTTTATACCACAATAATTAAAAAAGTGTCGATTAAGAAAAATGGTCGTTTGTCATATTCTGCATAATTTACGCCATGTAAGTTAAGCTTGAACAGAACTATGTTATCAATGATCATCACTTGTCTATAGTCTTTCACCTGTCGTCATTTAGACGACTGAGTAGAAGCCAGTGCACGTTTAAGTTGTTAGTCGCAACCCATTGTAGATTTGAGCCTTCTGCATAGCAGCGCTTCAATATCAGCACCATATTCTTCTCGTTTTATAAATTTTAATTGACACAGTGGCATCATTATGTTTTTGATACCTTGAATTATTACATCAATGTATACAGCGACGTCGCGCTTTCTATAATACGAAGTACTAATTTGTAAGACGTCGTCTGACTCGTCCGCTCTACAGCTCACTGCTTTGCCTGCTTTTATATAGGGTGGAGGTCTCAACAATCTCTCAATGATGCATAGGTATGATTCGACTGACCAGAGTCGATACTCTCTTGCCGATCGCCATACACAAGTGTCGTGCAGAACCGTGGACCTCTGCAATGATAGACGCTACACATTGCGAAGAGCTAGCAGCAGTACAATTTTCGGAAGCACGCAACGTGATGCTGTACTAGAAGCCGAAGGTGCAAAAACATATATAATTACATTTCAGTAATTAACATGTCTTTTTTGACTCCTATTGCTTAGTCCTTATAAATCGTGTGTCTTTTATGCTAGCCACTGAATGCGCGCTTAACACGGATTAAAAGCTTTTCATTCTATACTTGATATGATCGGACTAGTAAACGTCACCAAACGTTTTACCAATAAAAGCAATAGCTAGGTTATTCAGATGTAAAAATATTAAGCATTACATTTATTGGTGTCTATGACATGTAGTCGGCTTCACCCGCATATTATGGCTCGGGAAAACACGATTAAATAGTTTTTTTTCCTGCTCGAAATTAAGACCACACCGTACCTAAATATGTTTTATTATCCGTCGCGAGGACAGAAGTAGCATGGCATCAAAAGGTCTGAAGCGCGAGCCGCTCACTATAGAGCGTGCACTGCCAATCAATCATCTTGTAGGATATCAGTAGCTAGCCTAGGGACAATAGCACGTGACTTGAATCTGGCCTCATCGCAAAAAATCTGAGACCGATCTATCAGAAGAGATGTAGGTCAGAAGGGCAGCTGAGGTCTGGGTAGGCTCAAGATAACGTCAAGCTGACATTTAATTTTCTGTCACGAAAACAGTGGAGAGTGAAGAAGGCTTGAGCTAGATCATGGAGTGAATGTCGACTCAGTGGTTAATGGCAACTCGAGAAAGAGAGGGAATTGGCAAATCGAGCCACTTTTTCTGCCACTTGAGTCTTGTGAATTGTTTGAATTTATGCTCATACGAATGTAAATTGGCGTGCAGCTGTTCAATTTGACGTACGCATATGGCATGCGACTACGGGTAATGGAATGCGTAGAAGGGTTTTGCCACACCGCGTCCTTCCAGTGTCGTCATAATTATAGTGCTTGTTTAGAATTCTTTCAACGATGGGCGTGAGTGGTGATGTCATACTGCTCTTGCACTACGGATCCATAGTGTCACATTAAGTTGCTTTGATTGTCAAACACGACCGAGCGTAAACTTGTCTTGAAGCACGTTTCGGTGCGTCGATCATATCTGCCAGGCACTCATGTCGCACCGACATCGGAGGTTATGAGGGCCTGGAAAGCGGGAAGGAATTTATATTTGTTGTCTACAATGTCGATGTGGTCAGCGCAGCTGAGGCAGACACAGCAGGCCCTCAAGAAATGACTAACACAACTTAATTTAATCTTTTATATGTCGCAACAAGAGTTTGAAACGAAGGGATTCTGTAAGGATCCAATACCAATACGGCAGTAAGCACATCCGCGCGTGCCCAATCTCACATGTAATATCACGAAGTAGAACAGCACCATTACATTGCATAAGGCTGCCTTCGACGACAGATGCTTGGTCAATGTAGCTGTGGCGGCATTCATCCACATACCAAACAGTTTGTCGGAAGCACGCTCTTAATCAAGGAGAGAGATTCGAAAGTGCACGCGAGTGAGGAGCGATGTGATACAGTCGCTTGGAATGGGTGACTTAAATCGTCTGTTTTGACGTACCAGCCAGGCCGCACAGGCGGCGCGAAAATGAATGCTACCATCTTCGGCTCCTTAGCGTGTATCGACATCGTGTGGTCAGATATATACAGCGACAGCAATGAGCTGTCGCTGACCACAGTGCCTCATGGTCGACTACAGTTAAAGTCGGCATACCACACGTGACGAAGCTGCTAATACTTACATTCATGGTCTGCAACAATACTTAGATGCGAACAAACTGGGTCACACAAAATTCGTTGACATCAATCATCCGATCGATAACGCACGTCTATTCTATACGAGTTAAATATTGATGCACACAGCGGGCGAGAGGTCTCGTCAGGCAGGCAAACATGAACGCGACACATTTCCACGACGAGGTAGCGAGCGACCCTACAACGACGTGATGGGCTCGCGATTCAAGCCGTCGAGCGTCGTCCAAGCTGGACTCGACGTCTTGTGGATCGAACTCGTGCACTGACCCGAGAGCGGGGCCATGACTTTGGCACTCACGGACTCGTGGCCCAGAAACTCCTGCACGTCCGGCAAGTCGCGAGCCACCGCGTGGTTCAGCACGTCCATGACGATCTGGGTCAGCACCTGACGACGTTCGTCCAGTAACGTCTGGTTGTCGGCTAAAATGAGCGTCAAGAGTCCATCGGCAGGCAGTGGCGTGAGGGCGTCGCCCATGACAGACGCCAACACTGTGTGGAGCTGCTTGAACTCGCTATAGCGGCGACTGATGACGTACTCGTGGCTGAATCCCTCTTCCACGAGGCCACGTGGCGACGAGTGCGTACTTGTGCTCCCACGTCGCACATGGAGCACGTACATCCACGCGTTAGTGGTCGCGTCTTGCACGACTTCTGTGATCTCGACGTGTTCCTGCGGCGTGAAGCTTTCGTACGGCATGGCAGAAGACGGAGACGAAGAGAGGAGGAAAAGGCAAGAGCTGGTGGACCGCGAAGAAAAGTCGCGTAGTACGTGTTGCCGAACTTTGCAGTGGTGGTAGTGGTGGCTGAAGTAGTAGCTGTAGTAGTACTTGTGGCAGTAGTAGTAGCAGTTGGGAGAGTTGTCGTAGAGCCTCTAGAGTCAGTCGAGAGCGTCGTGTCTCTGTAGCGAATCTGCTGTCCTGGCAAAGAGCTGGAGCTGTCGACAGAAAGTCGTCGTGTGCTGTCAAGTGCTCGAAATGTGGAATGCCCGTCAGGTCGCACGCGACGGCCACTTACGACAGACGACGACGACGGCAGCAGCAGCGAATCTGACAATCGCTCGAGCGGCTGCACGCAGTCGACGGTAAACTTCACCTTCCAGCGGCTGGTCGGTACCGCGTCGAGGCTTTCGATTGGTGGATGGGATCAAAATGTGACGATAGCTCGCAACATTTGCGGAACTTGCGTGCAAAGCCGACTTTTAGCGTCAGCGACTCGTGACGGCCATTGCGACACATCGCTGGCGATCGATCGTCCCGTCTGTCTCTCGGACTCTTATGTCAAGTACTCACACAGGCTAAGACGGCCCTTACTTGTTGCCTGCTGCAAGCCGTCGCCTTCCCCCTATCTCCCGCAACTATGGCCGACGTGCTCAATTAGGTTACAGAGAATCCACTCGCTCGCTCGCACGTACGTACGTACGCACATCACCTGCTGCCAAGACGCGAACAGTGTTGAGCTTGTGAGGAGTCCGTCTCTCACAGACGGGAGAGCTGAGAAACACACGACACATTTGGTTGAGGGAGGGGCGAGAGAGTCGACGCGTTGCACACCACGTCGACCTCGAGCCAGACACGGCCCGCGATTCACGTCCGCCTCTAGCAAACAGGCGCCGACAAAGGCAATCGCTGTAGCATCTGTTCGGCATCGCCGCGGCTCGCGACTGCGGCGGACCAACGCCTGGTGTCCACTCTCTTGCTTCGTTCAGTAGTGTTAGAGGCTGCCACTGGATGGCAGAGCGGTTCGGACGGACACGCAAAAAAAGCGAAGCACGTCAGGATTGTGCTGTGCATCACAAGCGTCTGACGCCAGAGGAAGCGCTGTCTATGCACGACGTACGGGCGTGGGCGGTGTCGGCGCGCCATGATCAGATGCAGGAATCTCGAAGCCACGCACGGTCCGGTATCAGATGACCGAAGGTGCAGTCCCGGGATCTGTTCGACGAATACATCGTCTTGTTTGCTGACGTGCCTCAACCTCGTGACATGAGCGCTTTGTTGGCAGCGAAATAGTCACTTGGCCACGGGTTGACGAGCTGCACGTGTTACATAACGCCTAACGCACGAGTGGCCTCTACACTATCTGACAAACCTGCTAACATGTAGACGCTGATCGCGGCAACTAGCAGCGATACTGGCAGAGGAGCGCTAGAGGCGGTAATGACGCCTTCACAGTTAGCGTGAGATGGCGTGCTAGCCAGCGAGAGAGCAGTAGCTGGTCTTTCTTCGACGTGAAACGCGTGAGCAATGCGTGTCGCAGTGTCTTCCAGTTACAAGTGCCATCCAGTGGTCGTCTTGCGACTGGCTGCGATCGTCGTCGCTCCGGTGCCCGAAGTCTTTGATTGAACCTGCAAGTGCTGCCACAGCCCCAGACCAACAAAGCACACTGTGTTTATGCCAAGAAGAAGAAATGCGTGGAATGGAAAAAAGATTCGAGTGCGAGGCACGTCGGCTTTGCGTTCAGTACGACGCATCGTCACAGACCGACCGACGTACATTGAATTCTCGGAGCTGACCACTGGGCGTACAGAGTCACGCCTTATTGTGGAGGGGATGTGGTTGTGCGTTACGGATGCGTTGCTATACCATACTACCAGTTCGATCCGGTGTCAAACGTTTTCACATCCACACACATCCACACCCCTCGCCATTGTGATTTGAGAACACGTGACACGATCGTAGCATGCTGCCTGCTCAGATGACGGGGTAAGAAGCGAGCGCTCTTGGCTTGCTGCATTTGGCGGACTCTCTGACGTCAGTCTTCTTTCAAAGCCCACATACGGCCGACGCTCTGCTTTCTCTGCTTCGCACAGGGAATGCCAAGACGTGGCTGATACACTGATCGGTGGTACCCGGCAATGACATTGCTGCATGACCGCCAAGTCCCGACACTTTGATTACTCGATAGTAGACCGTGCTTCGCTGGACAATCGATTCGCACCTTGAACTGATCCTGCCTGTTCATGTCCGAGTGTGTATGTTCCGCTCCACATTGTCGGTCAGTGATACTCTCCCGCTTCCGAATGCTTGACGGCCTATTCTTTGTAGTCATGACACCGTCTCTGTCTTATGTGCTTGCAGCCAGTTCGTGACACTAGCAGAGAAGAGTCTAAGCTATTTACAGCATTAGTGTCCTGGTTCTCTGGTAAAGCCAGTAATGAAACTAAACCAGCGAAGGTGCCAGCTGTAGTGGCAGTGCCGCATGCCTCGTCGCCATGACTGCCGCCACAAGCGAGTCCGACCGTCTCACGTCTAGATAATCGCCAGCCAGAGGATCCACTGCCAACAAATAGCTAGCAAAGCTTCGTTTGGGGTCAATAAACTGCAACGGTCGTCAGCGAGAAGCTCATTTGTACTGATTTGTGTGGCACGGAACAAAGAGCATTCATCGTGACATAAGCCACAAGAATCGCATGCAGTCGTGCGTTGTAAAGGGTTTGCCACCTGAGTGCAACGAGATGCGCGTATGACAGGGCTTGTGTGGGGCGGACGTATCACGGCACACATGAAGCAGACAAGGGTCGGCACGTACGAATGTGGCTAGCTTGACGTGGCCGCAGTCAGGAAGAAGTTGTGGACAGCGCCAGGCTTTGACCTACACGAGGCATACTCCTGAAATGACAGCCACGCGTCTACCATAGCGTGGAGTCTGCCATGCCGATTGTTACTAGGATAGGCCGAGCTTTATGCGAGTCTTAATCACACTCCATCCAGACTCTTCCGTGGGATCTGATAGCTAAAGGACTGCGAATCCACGACAAGCTCATCTTGACGCTGTACATGCTTGCTTCCTTGCACCGCGACTGCACGAACGCAAAGAAAAGCTACTGCTATTTGCACGTGCCTGACGCCACATATTCGCACACGTGTCCAGCGCTCGCCTCAAGCTGAGTTGGTGTACCTTTGTCCATGCTGAGCTCATTCGCTCAACGTCAAAGCCTACGTGGCAGCCGACAGAGCTTATCGATACACCTACATCGTACGTGTAACGGGGTGAGCCCTTTACATAAAGATTGATATCTTTGTGTCAATTTTTGACCATTATCTATTTAGATAATGTTCAATTGACATTACTCGTAAGGAGTGAGGTTGAAGAAATATTACTCCCGAGAGTCATATACTTTGATGGGTTGCTCTACCTGATGGTTGATGTTCACGGTACATCAACCAGATTAATCACCAATCGCTGCTGGGCGCGCGCAATGGGTTGTGAGCAAGAAACCCACATAGGATATTGTAGTTTTATATAATTCGCTCGTGACAAAGAAGGTTTATTAAGAAAGCATGACTATATTAATTAAGTTCTACTTTTTCCCTTAGATAGAGCTTTCGAGTTCTCCCTGCTTCGCTGCGCTTCCTCACGCCACGTGTACGTGACATCGGGTGCACACAACCTTGTGTTGAATTGACACAAGGCGTGCCCCGTTACAATATGTCTAGGACAAGACGCCGCGCCGGTCCACCCACTTTTGCACGCAGTATACTTGCGTAGAAAAAGCGATGCATTAAAGCGATAGATCGATCAAGCTGTTTCACGTCATAGTTGTCTGGCTCGAGTGAGTGAGAAAGAGAGGTATATTTAGGTACGCGTACGACCTGCTATATCCTGGCACGCGGCAACATGGTTACCGGGGAGATCTCTACTTAATATACTAGGCAGCACTAGGTCTCGGACAGCAGAGCGCCTGCGCCAAGCCTCCTGTATCGATATTATAGGGTTCCTCTATGTCAGTACGGGGCCCTGTATTACGTGTTGTTCGGCCTGATAGGTTTTCGACCAATGATTGACATCAGAATCAAGGAAGGTCGTAGCCTTCTGGTCTAGAACGAGGTTAGAAAAAGTGTGCGCTTGAATCGAAGCTCCTACGTCCATAGCGATATTCTCCATTCGATCATCCATGTTCTTGTAGGTACGATAGTGATGTCTCCAGCTCAAGACATTGATATCGTTAGCTAAGACTTTTGCCTCAGGGGGTAACCGCACCAAGTGCTGCCCGCGCGGATAGTGAAGTGTTAGCAATTGTGAAATCACAATAGCACTGACTAAAATGACATGCAGGGGTAAGCTTTCGTTGACCTTTGCTCGCCGAAGACCGTGTACGAGCCCCTAGTATTCAGATATATTGTCAGTGGTATCGGCAGAGCCATAGGCCACGCTCGATATTCACAAAACGCATGCAGCGTGCGTCATAACGTGAAGACAGACAATAACAGATTCAGCTCCGCCTGGACCTGGATTTACGCGGAATCATCCATCAAAAAGTGGAGGTATAGCACTTCTGTGCACCGTTAGATGGGGCATACGATCAACGGAGGAATTTTGTCTTGGGAGAGGGGAGGATACCAGCCAAGGCTGAACTTACCTGCGCAAACAGTTGCCGGTTCTCCCCCATGACGGGATGGCAGGTAGACTCACGAAACCTTCGAAAAGACCGGTGGAACATAGTATTGGCACTAGCTGTGTGAACCCCCTGTGATAGAGACGAGTCGTCCATGCGGTGGAGGCGCTGGACCCAGATGGAATGAAGCGTCGTTGATACGACAAAACAGCAGAGCTCTCGAGCTGCCGCAGCCTGAGCTCTAAGTAAATCTGTCCCTGTGTCCATAGATTGCTTGACATTTCCCAAGGTGGAGGGCGGATTCCCGGTAGGTCCAGCCAAAACACCCAGATAGGCAAGTCAGTCTCCAGGAAAGTATTAAT